GCTACCTTTTAAATTAATGTTTAAAACTTTATTATCTAGCTTTATTTCGAACACTTAATAATCTGTTGTGTAATTTTAGAGTCTCTGTGGATTCGATCCCTAAGTACTACAATCGAACCTCTTTTGATGAGAGTAATTCACTCCTTAGGGTAATTTGAGTGATATCAAATTTGGCGCCGTTGCAGGGGACTATTTCTTATTACCACCAGATTTAGTTTAGAATACAGTCTAGAATTTTTATTTATTGTTTACTTAATTACTTTTTGTTCTTTCTCTGATTATCAGGGGACCCAAGATGGAAAATACAGATTTCAGCCCGGTATCGACCGATGACGCGACCGGTACATCGAGCGACATGTTGACTGAGAAATCGATCGACATAGACCATATCACATCGATCGATATAACCGAGCCGGAAGCAGGTAAGTCTTTACTTACCGATTTGATTAATGAGGAAGTAGTCCCAAACGAACCAGTAGGTCAGTTATGCAGTAAAACAAATGAATTTACAGTTAAACAGGGGACTGAAATCCCTGTCAATAACCATCCATCTTCAACTGAAGATGTAGAAAGATTGCGCGACTATTTAGACCCCATTAAGACCTATTTCAATAGGTCATCTATCCGACTACAAGATGATGAAGTAAATAAGTCTACTCTTGATTTAGACTTCATCAGTCTGGTACAAAAGAATCCCTTATGTGGTTCTGTCTCACTTCTGTGGTTCTGTCTCAGATCACCCCCATGACCACATTGATTTTCTAGAAGGATTCGCACTTAACGATACTAATCGTTGCAAACTTTTTCCTTTTTCCTTGGGGAGGGAACCCAAAAGTTGGTTGAAACAAATACCAGCAGGATCTTTAACCTGCTGGGAAGACATTCGCACTGCTTTCATCAACGAATTTTTCAATGAGACCCGATATTGGGACGTGAGACATAGACTCTCCACTTTCCTTCAAAACCCACGTGAATCTTTTAGAGACGCCTGGAATAGGTTTAATCATTTTCAGCGAGATTGTACCCATCATGGTTATTCTGAACCAGAACTTCTTAAATTCTTTTACGGAGGTCTCGAGTTGGATTACCAGATCACGCTAGACAATGCGAGTAATGGAAATTTTAGCTCTAGGACTCCCGCAGAAGCAAATCATTTGATTAGAAACATAGCTATGGTTAAGTCTTATGAAACTAAAGATAGAGAACGAGGATCTAGATCAAAGAACGAATCTCAATTGAGTGAAATTAAGCAATCACTAGATTCCCTTAACTCTCTCATTAGGAGGAGAGACTCTGATGTGACCCATTGCTATAAAGATGTCCACTCCATTGAGCAAACCTTCTTTAAAACAGAAAGCCCTCAGGAGTATACTTTCAACATAGATAGTTTCACCCAAGGCTACGACACTTCCATTGGAGTAGACAGAGGAAGGATCAAGAACAGGATGAACCACGTTCTCACAGAAAGTCAGAAATTAGAGTATACCCTAGACGCCCGGTTAGATAGCACCTGCAGCAAAATGTCGGAGGAAATTGACACTTTGCGATGGAGAATAAGAGATCTTGAAAGTGAAATTGCCCATACCGCAGAAAATATCAAGAGAGAAGCATGATGTCTGCCTGGAAAGACTGATACAAACCCGAGACGTCACGTAAATGCTGTAGTTTTGAGAAGTGGAAAAGAACTAACTCCAACCATTAGGGAAAACCCTCCTTCGGGAGAAGACACTGAGATTCCAAAAACGGAGAAACCCATTCCTAATCCCATTCTACTCCGTCACTCGTTAACCACTAGCCCTCAAAACAAGGAAAATGATAAGAAGACTGAAGAGCCAGTGATCATTCTCGATGAGGAGGATATTGACGACATCGATCGATACGAGGATACCAATATCGATCGACGAACATCCGAAAAATCGAAAGAAAGTCCGATACCCACCGGACCAACTTATAGAACGGGTGTACAACCCTTTGCCTCCTTATCCTCGCAAATCTAATTGCACGCGCAACAGGGATAAGGAAATATGCAGACGGGCTTTTGAACGCGTTAGTGTAGAAATACCACTTATTGACGCTATTCAGATTTCGCCAACCCTACGACAATATGTCAAGGGAATGACAACCAAGAGTTTTTCAACAGAAAAACGTAGTGTCATGATGGTGTCTGCAGAAGCTAGTGCTATAATCCAAACCCCTGAAAAGAGACCCGATCCTAGTAGTTTTGTTCTCAGGTGTACAATTCGAGACAAGCTATTTCCGAGAGCACTTTGTGATCTGGGCTCTAGCGTAAATTTGATGCCGCATTCTGTTGCCACAGCCCTTGGGTATTCCGAATTTACACCAGCTAACATCCAACTAGTTCTCGCAGATAGATCTGTTAGGATCCCAGAAGGAGTACTCGAGGATGTGCCGGTGCAAATCGGCGGATGCAGTGTTCCGACAGATTTTGTCGTCTTGCATTACAAGAATGAACCGAGAGATCCGATTCTATTAGGAAGACCTTTCCTCGCTACTGCAAACGCTATTATCGACGTCAAGGAAGGACGAATAAATCTTAACATAGGCAATATTCCTATGAGATTTGATATGGAAAAGGTCGTCGCATCGCCTTTAATAGATAAGCAATCCTCTTATGTCGATGAGATTGATGAGTTAACCCAAGAATATTTTGAGAAACTATACTCAGATGATCAAATGGAAGATGTACTTGTATCCACTCAGAACGAGGTTTTCGGCGTAGATAGCAGAGCAGCTGAATGCGATCGTCTAATAGAAACAAGTCATGAGCCAATGAACATATTATATCGCCATCTCAAGAAAATATGGATGCTGAAAACCAGGCCATAAGCCTGGGAAATATATGTTTGGTGGATGATTCTTAGACTTCTACAACTCAATTCAGTGGATGTGTTTGGGTTTGGAATGATAGTTTGGGAAATAATTAGCTAATGGGATTGCACAATTTTAATAGAATGGAGTCTACTTTGCATTCAGAGTTGGAAGGAATACGGTGGACAGTGGAGAATATGCTTCAACATTCGCTATGTCAAAGCTTTGGGACTGACTGCAAGGAGATGATTGCGATGCTCAGAAATCCCATGATTGGCCAAGCTTCTCAACGGAATTAGAAAAGCTCATAACGCTGTGGATCTACTTCCCAAATTTCAAGATCTTTTATGCTCCTAGAACACAGAACAAGTTTCCAATTCATTAGTTAATAGTGCTATATCTTTCGGTCGAGAATTTTTGTATGTTGATTGTTTTATTCCGGTTTGACTACCTAAACCTCCTCAAACTTGAGAAATAGATCAGTCTTTTGATGTCAAAAAAACAAATATATATATATATATATATATATATATATATATATATATATATATATATATATATATATATATATACATTTACCATCGTTGTATGTAAGCATACAAGTGTACCATCATTTGATAAATAAAATATATCTATAACTATAAATATTCTACCATAGTGACCAATAACTTTACTAAATACAGACTATTTTGATAAACTCAAATAGTCCAATAACTTACCGCTGAAATAAATAAGTTTATAACTAGAGTTTAATCTGTGCATCTCCGGGATATTTGTTTTTATTTTTATAAATAAATAGTTATTTGGTATATATATTAATATATATTTTATAATTTATCTGTATTAAATCATTGTTTAGTATGACATTTTTGAAAAAAATAATTTATAGTTGAAATTAAGTAATTTTATTTTGTCTTGTAAATCGTTAGTTGTATTATCCATATTTTTAAAATATGACTTGTACATTCATACAAATATATTTTATATTTTATAAATGAAAATTTTATTATAATGTATAGTAAAAAAATTTATATACTATATAAAATCTGGTACTATATATTTTATACTCTTCAACCTTTATCATACTTAATTTACATTAGACTATTATTTATATGAAAATATAGATAAAATAATAATTTATATATTAATTTATATGTTATTTATATTATCTAAATGATTCCTTTTAAATTTATGTATGTTTTATGGTTTTTAATTTGATAATGAATAAAAATGCTAAAATTTAGGATTAGGTAGTTTTTAGTTGCATTAAAGTGTAATTAATTAATTGTTTTAGTTAATAATCAATTTTCGAAATGGATTAATAAAAGAGGAGAAGAATACAAAGAATCTAAAATCTGAGTTTACTAATTGCAGTGACAATCCATTGTAACAAGTGGTAAAGTTTTTTATTTGTATTTTTCTTTTAATAATATAGATATTCAGTTTACTATAATCTGACATGATTAAAACATATTATCAACATTATTTTAGTGTATCTCTATAATTTACTTAGACAATAAATTGTTTTATTATATACTATTTATTTCAAATTTTAACAAATTGGATACTAATCGCTATTCCTAGCCCTTACCTGATATAATGAAATTGTATAGTAATTTTGACCACTCAAATTAAACATACCCTAAATTACATGTCCATTATTTATATGTTTAAGATAACACATAATTTGCGGCCATTAATTTGCAGCCATTATCCGATTGGATTTTCTGAAATGTTCCCCCACTTCCTATTTTCTAGTATCTTAGATCCCACTGTCCCACATAAACATGTCTATCCAATTTGCAAATTGATTCATGTGCTTATGTGTAGCACAGCACTATTTGAAGCAAATGAGATAATATAAATTCTAGAATCGGCGAAAGCTACTACCTAACGTTGAACAAGACCCATAAACAATTTCTAAGAAACTATCTAATTTCTATATTCTTCTACTGTCAATCTTATCTATACAGTCCTTTTCGTTCTTACAAGTATCAGATGTCTGACTGAGTGTAAGCCGTAGTTTAAATTCTCGGTTGACTTTGTTCTGCAAGAGAAACCAAGTCATCAACTAAAAAATATAAATAATAATAAGAAATATTGGTCATACAACTTTGTATGATACAAGTTAATCACAACCATGTATATTTTAAGATTTTATCATGGAAAGTATGAGAGCTCTAACGAACTTTCGCTGAAACTTCATGTAACCCTTTTATTTAAAATCAACGAACACATCAATATTTAATATATATTTCAAAGGAAGAAAAAAACATACAATCTCCTTCAATTATTTTTGTGACACTCAAAGTTGATGAAAGAACATAAAGATCACGTAGTGGTGATCACGTACGGACCATCCTCGGAGGGTTCAGTGACGGCTTCGCCAATCTCTCATCAGACCCCGTCAGTTCCGACGCCGTCTCCGTTTGCATACTCCGTAACGCCGTCCGCCTCGAGGTTCAGCTCACGACGAGCGTCGGTTCATGTTCCCGGTTTGGTTCTCCGGTTTATAACTTTGGTTCTATGTTTCGTATCTGCTGTTTCACTGGCAGTGAATGTTCATCGGCCTTCACAGAGACATCATACACAGAGCTCCTCGAGTTTCGCTTCATACCCTGAACTATTGTAAGAACCTTATCTTCTTTTCAATATTTTTACTAATATTTTTTATATTTATTTTGTCAACCTAATATTTTATTTAATTTATTTCGTATAGTATGATGTTTGGTTACTTGGAACATTATTAGTGATTGGTTTGGTAAAGGGATTTTTACTTATCTATATTATTAAAAGAGAAGTACATATATAAAATACCCCTTAATTTTCCCTTTTATTTACAATAGCATGCTACTGAAGTTATTAATTACCCTACCTTATAGGATTCTTTGTCTTTTCACTTTAATTAATGCATTTCCAAAATCAAATTTTAACAAAAAAAATTATGGCAAGAATAATTAATGAAAATAATTATTTTCATATATACCTTTTGTAATTAAATAAATAAATTCTATATAAATTGTTTTACTAATTCCATATACATAATAATTAACTCCAATATTAATTAACCTACCTTTTAGAATTTTTGTTCTTATTAATTATCAACATATCCTTAAATAGTTAATGAATAATATTGTTTTCAAAGATATATAATTATATTTTTATTATTTACAAGTAATAACTAAAATAAAAGTCACAAAAAGAAACATTTATATAATATATAATACATAGATTAATATAAGCATATTATGTTTTGTATATTTTTATATAAATAATAGTTCAAGGTAAATTCAGAATAATAAAAGCTAAAAAAGTAGAAATATATAGAACCACATATTTTAAATAGTAGATACAACAATTTAGTTATACATTATCATAAAATTTTGATCCATAAAAACAAAAATAAAAACAATTTTGCAGATATACGGGTCATATTTTTAAAATAAGTATGACACAATGACAGTTTATAAGATAAAATAAAATTACTCATTATAAACTATAAAATTGTGTGTTTAAAATATCGTTTTAAACAATTATTTAAATGGGTAAATTTAGAAATATATATTATCACTTCTAAAATATATAAAAACAAACACTTTCACGGATCAAACAACAAAATTTTCGGTATTCTTCTGTCAAAATTAAACCCATAAGTAATTTGTAACCATTTAATTGATACTTCATTTTTATTATAAAAATTTCAATCCAAATGTTTTGTATATTAAAAAAATTATATGAGTTGAACATCATGATTTTTCTTAGAAATGTTATAACTAATTTATCATTTTTTTGTATACCATATTAACTCTTACTTCTCATGATTTGATGTATCTTTAACTGAAAAATATTTTCAATATATCGTCTACATGTTAGATTTGTTTATATGATACCCAATATTTTTGATACCATAAATTGTTAACACACACACAAAAAAAAAACTTAATGTAATAAAATTAACTTTTACAAAAATTTCATCTAATATAAAAATTAAAAATAAAATTAATATCCGTATGGTCGCACGGGTCAAGGTCTAGTTATTATATTAGTATCTAAAAGTAATTTAATTATACAATGAAAATTTCTTATGTTAAAATTTAAAATTAGCTTAACCATTTAGAAAATGACAAGTGGCAAATTTTGTGTACAATTGTTTTTTTCCTAAACAACCGGCGACATTGTTTATTTTCTTTCTCTGATTTTTATTTTTATTTTTTATTAATTATTTTTAGAACAAAATTTAGGTTCATCTCTAAGGTGAACTTTCAAATTCACCTCAGTTCTAATAACTATTCACTATGTTACGTAGATTAATGAATAAAATTATTAAATATTTTTTAAAAAGCCAAAACAACTATAAAAAATATAATAACACTAATTTTAACGACGTTATCACCGCTAGCTAAACCCTAAATCCAAATCATAACCCTAAACCAAAATTTATACCCTAAACCCAAATCCTATATGCTAAAACCCTATCTAAATCTTAAACTCTAAACCTTAAACGCAAACCCTATACTCTAAAATCCAAATCTAGATCCTAAACTTGAACCTTATACCTTAAATTCAAATCTTATATCCTAAAATCTAAATTCTAAATTCTAGATTCTAAATCTAAATTCTATACTCTAAATCCAAACCCTAGACCCTAACATCTAAACCCTAAATCATAGATCCTAAATCCTAAACTCAAACTTTAGATCCTAAATTTAAATTATATACCATAAACCCTTACTCTATACTTAAAGCCAAGCTGTAAATTCTAAACCTAAATCTTGTACCGTAAATGTTTGGTTTAATGTTGATATTGTTCCTTTAGAGTTTAAGATTAGGATTTAAGGTTTGAATTTAAAATTTACGGTTTGGTTTAATGATTTATGATTTAGTGTTTGGATTTAGACTCTAGGATTTGAATTCAAAGTCTAAAATTTAGGTTTAGGATTTAGGGTCTAAGGTTTAAGGTTTAGAATTTAGGGTCTAGGATTTGGGTTAAGGATATATGGTTTGGGTTTAGGGTCTATAGGGTTAAGAGTTTAGATTTAGGGTATAAAGTTTGAATTTAGGGTCTAGATTTAGGTTTTAGGGTATAGAATTTGGGTTTAGGATATAGATTTTGGTTTAGGGTTATGCTTTGGATTTAGGATTTAGCTGCTAATGTCAGTTAAAATTTGTGTTAATATTATTATTTATAGTTATTTTGGATTTTTAAAAAATATTTAATAATTTTTATTCATTAATCTATGTGACATAATGAATAGTTATTAGAGATGAGATAAATTAAAAAATTTATTTTAGAGAGTGAACCTTAGTTTTGTTCTTTCTTATTGATAAGAAACGTAGTGAAAATTGACCACTGTGAGTATTTTTAGAGTGTGATTGGCAATTTCTTTAGAGTGTGATCGGCAATTTCTGAAATAAATGAGATAAATCATAAAGTAGAAATGAGAGAAAAAAGGGGAGTCAAAAAAGATAATTACTTTCACAAAATTCAACGATGAATGTAAGCTTTCTTTTGTTTAAATTAAATAATAAATAGAGTAAATGTAGAAAAAAATAAGTTGACTGGATTGGTAATTTCTTATCTTTCTTTTTTATATATTGGATTGGATTGGTAATTTCACTACACAACTTAAGGTAACCAAATTTCCACTAATGATATTTGCTTTAGATATAGACCATTCAATTCGGTCAAAACCTTTCTCCCATGTAAAGTTTCTAGATTTTTTTATCTATACAGTATTTTACTGCTACAATAAAACGCAGAAACTAACCAAAGTTCCCTAACAAAAATCCATGACTGAATGTACTATAATAGTCTAATACTAATAAACGAAAAGTGTCGGTAACACCAACAAAAAAATAGTTTTGTTTTCGCGTCATTTTGGTTTGTGCCGCTAATTTACAAAGTATTAAAAGTTTTGTAATAAAAGAAACAATATATGTAGGTATTGTTTTGGTGTAGCTGTGATAGGACTCGTGTATACATCTCTACAAACGTTCAAAGGAGTTTGTGATATTACTCACAGAGGAGTTATAATCTCTGAGCCTCTCTCGGATTACATCAGCTTCATTCTTGACAAAAAAATAGTTTTGTTTTCGCGTCATTTTGGTTTGTGCCGCTAATTTACAAAGTATTAAAAATTTTGTAATAAAAGAAACAATATATGTAGGTATTGTTTTGGTGTAGCTGTGATAGGACTCGTGTATACATCTCTACAAACGTTCAAAGGAGTTTGTGATATTACCCACAGAGGAGTTATAATCTCTGAGCCTCTCTCGGATTACATCAGCTTCATTCTTGATCAGGTATTCTTTTAATTATTATTGGATAATTTGATGCTACATATATATTGATAGACTCAATAGGAAACGGTTGAAAGAATTGGGATAATTTATTTTTGTAAAACTTAATCAGGTTATATGTTATCTACTAGTATCATCTTCTTCTGTGGTAATAGCGTGGATCCAACATGCAGACGGCGATGCGATCAAAACACTTAGAAATAATTCCATGGTTTCAGCTTCAATGGCCTTCTCTGCTTTTTTGGTTTTGGCACTCTCGAGCCTCTTTTCTGGGTATAAGCTTTGCAAGAGATTTATATGGTAATAATTCTTGTAAATTGTTTTTATATCCAAATAATGTTAAACCTGAATAAGTAATGACCTTTGTTCGAAAATTCGCTCGGCACTACGCATGCGGCACATATGGACCTAGTAATTTACTAGAAAATCGGAAAGAAAATCAAGGAATACGCGGAAAGTAATTTTTAATAATTTATTAATTTATATATGTAAAAACTTGTAAACTACCAAATAAAATCATATATCATAATTGGCACTTATGCATGTACCATGGCCTAATCCAGAGAGTAAGCAAAAATACAATTTTATTTGCCAATACATATATAAATTATTAGTTTTATAGTTCCTATGAAAATCAATGGCCTTGGCTTCCATCATCGTTTAAATTTAGAAAAATATTTATGTTATAGTAGACATATAGGCTAAGTCAAGAGAAATAAGAACCCATTAAAAGAATTTAAAGCCCATATAAAAATAAAACCCTAACGAAAACAAAAGGATTTTTAACATAAAAACCCCTCTACTAAGTTTGTTTTGGGTAAAAACCCCTAAACTTAGTATTTAATGAAAAAAACTCCTAAAATAACTTTATTTAGCGAATTAAACCCTCGCCGGTCATAATTACCAGTACTACCGGTAAATCTTCAGTTTAGGATTTTATCATTAAACATAAAAATCAATAAAATTCAAAATATAATAACATTATCTAAAAATTTGTAATTTTAATTTTAAAAACAAGCATTTTAAAAAACAATTTGTAACTATATGAGTCTGATTTGTTTTCCTTTTAAAATTAAAATTATATATGTTTAAATTTAAAATGTAAAAACCAAGAAAATATAAGAAAAATTATCTAATGCTTTACCTGTAATAAAAATTATCAAAATTTATAAATATAAAAACAAGAAAACAGAATAAAAATTATATCTTATTTAATAAAAATGTAATAATAAATCTTCAGATGCTTTTTATTATATTTTGGTGTTTTAAAATTTTAATCTATATATATAATATTGATGTTAAAACAAATCAAACTCATATATTTACAGAAAGTTTTCAAAATGCTAATTTTAAAAATTTAAGTTGCTAATTTTAAAAATTTAAGTTGCTAATTTTTTGATAATGTTATAATTTTTTTTTTAGAATTTTAATGATAAAAACCCTTCAACTATGTTTAATATGGGGGTTTACTTGTTACTTTGGGGTTTTTTTACCCAAAACAAACTTAGTTAAGGTATTTTAGAGTTAAAAATTCATTTTACAAGGATAAGAAATCATTCATATATTTACATAAATTTTTAAAATGCTAGTTTTGAAAATTAAAATTACGAATTTTAGATAATGTTATTATATTTTGATTTTTTTTTTTTAATTTTTATGTTTAATGATAAAACCCCTAAACTAAAGATTTACCGGTAGTACTGGTAATTATGACCGGCGAGGGTTTAATTCACTAAATAAAGTTAGTTTGGGGTTTTTTTCATTAAATACTTAGTTTAGGGGTTTTTACCCAAAATAAACTTAGTTGAGGGGTTTTTATGTTAAAAATCCAAAACAAAATAGACATACCACTTTCTTCAACCTGTTCTTCTCAATCCTCCATCGTTTCTGTGAAATAACGATTGTGAAAACAATAAGATTCAGAGATGGTGAGACGAAGAAGAAAGCAAATGTTTCGTGTAAACACCACTACACAATATGACCAACTTTAGCTCACATGGTTTTCAAATTCTATGGCCGCATAACACAGAAATACGGCCACCTAATACAAAAATACGTTTTTGGTGGATATAACTCGGTCTACCGTAGAACACAACCGAATTGGCTCAACTCGCTACGGTGACCATACGTTTCACGAGTATGCGGCCGATTAAGCGGCTCCGCGCCCGCAATTTAGAACAAGGGTAATGACCATGTGAACATTGCAATTATTACGTGTTAATTTGCACCTGCATGCACTCAGAGTTGTCTTCCTCGTATTTCTGTCAAAATTGTTACTAATTTGTAAAGGGTCCTTTAATATGCACAAAAGGAGGATTACATAGTGTGGAAAAATCCAAGGCAGCTTCGGTAACCCTTACCTAACAATTGATACCAAGATCATGTGTATTTGAGTCACCAACAACATCTATCAACAGACCCACCCTAAGTCAATCATCATATCAGAAAAAAAATCGAAAACTTTAAATCACATACTTCCACTACAAGAAAACAGACATTTACCAACTACATAATTAGTCACATATTGGTCGCTAAGTAGCACAATACGACCGATTTGCGACTGATCGGCATAGTTGCAAATCATCGTGTCGCAAAACTCATTAGTCATAAATTAATCGGTATTTAGCGACCGATTTACGACTGATTTCTGATTAGGAAGAAAAGTCACAACTCAGTAGCTATTTAGTCCTTAAATTTTCTGACTAAATTGCCACACGGTTACTACTGAATTGTGACTTAGTAAACGTCATTATATGGTCGCAAGACAAGCAGTCGTTAATCCGTAGTAAAGCTTTCGGTCGCTAAAACGTCACAATATAACCACTAAAGTATGACGAATAACTTGTTATGTTAAAGACGGAGTTGTGACTGATTGGCCACTCATTTAACGACCGATTAGCTACTATATTTTGGGACTACATAGTGACTAATGTAAGACTTTATTTTGTAATTGGTATTTGTTTATTTTGTTGGTATTGTATTTGAAATAATACGTGAATATAAGAATTTAAATTGAAATTCAGAAAACAAAATATTTAAAAGAAATATTTCATACAAGTCTCAAAAGAAATTCCTACTATTGGAATTAGACGAAAGATACTCCTATTGCTGGAGTTATACAAGTTTTTAAACAAAAGGTAAAATCCATAGGAGGAAACTAATCCTCTTCTTCTTCAGCACCTTCTTCTTCATCACCTTCTTCTTCATCACCTTCTTCAGCACCTTCTTCATCATCTTCTTCTTCTTCATCATCAATATCTTCTTTTTCTTCTTCATTATAAGCCATGAAAGTCTGATACCTTGGATCAGTTGCAGACAAAAACTTATCAACCAAAGATAATTTTTTGAGCTCCTTTTGTGCCTTGGCAAGCTTCTTTTGTTGCTTGGATTTGATAGCTGCCTGCTTCTCAATCATGAGGTGAGCTGCGTCTAGCTGGTTTTGGAGGTCAGAGAATGATGAAGACCATGATGCGCTATACTTCCGCTTCTTATTCAAAAGAGTATCCTCAAGGATGCCTAGTCCATAGTGTTTTCCTCTTTTATCTGTGAAAGTGGACTACAAAAAAATTAAATTGTCAGAGATATTATTAATCAAAGAAATACAAACAATATAGAAAAGAGTATGATTAAACATGATAACAACACAGCAAACACAAAATAAACAATTTACCTGTAGGAAGAGGCCATCATCCTCGTCTATAGAGAGATGTGGAACTTGGGACACTTGGCTTGCTTATTGTTCTCATATGCCTCTGCAACTTTTTGTGCTTTCTTGTCAATAAAGGTGCCATCTTTTTTAGTATGTGTCCTGATGAAAACTTCACCAAGAGTGACTGGTCTGCCCAATTCATCAACCTGAAAATGAAGGACAAAGGTTAATGATCAAAAATAAATTGTAAATTGGACATAGACAAGGAAGGATAAGGTACCATTTCTTGTTCAATTTGTTGGTATGATTTCTGCCCAGGAAGGATAAGGTACCATTTCTTGTTCAATTCAAAACTATAATAGATAAACCATAAGGTGGTGGTTTAGTGGTAAATGGATTTTAGATAGGTAAACAACCTTTGTTAAAAGGTACCCATACTACATTTATCTTTTGGCCACATGAATATGAGATCATATTTTGGGTCTCATTTGAATAACTAGAAGGAGTTCTTCCGTAGACTATACCTTCCATTACAGATTAAATACTTCGAAATTAATAAAAACTGTAATAGATTAATCCATAAGATTAAAAATAGCATTTTCATCTTTATATTATAGTAATACAGTAGAACCTCTATAAATTAATACTCTATAAATTAATAATCTCTATAAATTAATAAATTTCACCGGTCCTAACTTGGGCCGGTGTAAAATATGAAACAAATCGATAAAATAATAAGATAATAAGATTTTTAAAATTGCCATGTAAATATATGGTCCCACTAAAATCATAAATTAATAATCTAGCTATATATAATTTTATATAAGTACAATCTAATATTATATTGTTGCTTTTATATTTACTATAAAAATACTTTTATTTTTTAAACATTTCAATATATTTTGATAATATTTAGTTAGAGGTTTTATATTTACTATAAAAATACTTTTGTTTTTTAAACATTTCAATATATTTTGATAATATTTAGTTAAATTATATCGAAAATCATGTAAAAATTCTATGAAACATAAAAATATACACCAAATAAGATAATAATAAAATATAAAAGTCAAATTTCTAAAATTTAAATAATCTACATATGCTAAAATAAAATATTTTTTTATAAAAATAAAAAAATAAAAATAAAAATAAGGAAACTTTCGTAAATTAATATCTCTATAAATTAATAAAATTTCAAAGTCCCGACATTATTAATTTATAGAGGTTTTACTGTACAACTGTATATAAAACAATATTTGTCTTAGCATTTTCAATTTAAAATCTTGTAAAATAAGTCTAAAAAATAGCATTTTCATCTTTATATTATAGTAATACAACTGTATATAAAACAATATTTTTCTTAGCATTTTCAATTTAAAATCTTGAAAAATAAGTCTCAAACAGATTACAAATGGTTTGAAAGAAACTAGTCAAAACTTTGCATACTACTACAAAAAAATGTTAGTTATAAATTATCTTTATGTGATATTCAGATATAATTTTTACTAATTAAATGCTAATTTCATATGTGTTTTATGTACGTATCTTTAATAAAGTTACAGAATTTTATGAGTTGGATTAAACTATATTAAAAAGGTGAATACATGTACTAAATTAAAATTTTATTATGGAGGCAACAAGTTAATAACTAACAGAAATTAAAAAAGGAAGAAAATATATGTCTATAATATTATTTGAAAAGTGAGTTTCTTATGTGTCGCACTTCCATTAACTCTCATGGCGGTTAAATAAATAGGTATCCTTACTAAATTATAAATATTATTTCGA